AAAAAAAAAGAACTTTTAAAGCTTATCGCTAATTGATAACAGTAAACGTAAATAACAGTAAATAACAGTAAACAAGTGACAAATGCATATGCAATTCGTTTATAGCAATTTTTAATATTTAAAATTATTAAAATTAACAAACGTTTGTTTAATTTGACAAAGCCTTAATTGATCGACCATAATAATACTTCGAGTCGCATCATATAATTGCATGTCACTAATATACAATTCTCGTTGATTGAGCTCACTAATTTCGGATACATCCAATGAACACATATAAATGAAATGCCCATTTGATAATAATGTGATTGAACCTATTATAGGTTTATTCAATTTAAGCCTTAATCTAAGCCCCGGCCTTAAATTTATCATCCAAATAATTTTATTTCATTTGCTTTTTCTCTAAACGATTGAGTGATTTTAAATTAGTGCATATTTGGAAAATACATATATTAAATGCATTTCCAAAATTAAGAAACCTCTTAATACGATTGCTTGTAGACAAATTTCACTATCAGTGGTATCATTTAATACCAATACAAATATACTGTTAAGAAATGCTAGCAACGATTCATAAATAAGCGGCACCTGAAATATAATCGCCCATTACTGTAATCATTATCCAATATACCTGAAATAATTTTACTTCTTTAAGAATTAAATTATTTGAAAATTATTGTTTATTGACATTTCACTTACATTAGGATAGATTAATTGTGCAATGTCAGTTAATAAAGTTATACCACATCTCACTGATGGTGCATATTTTTTGATAAAAATACCTGAAAATAAAACATAAAGGATGGAATTTCTATTTAAAAATTTCACATAACATTTATTTTACAATTGTTATCAATGGAAAAAAGATATAATATTTAAATGGAAATTATTTGAAACATTTACCATGATGCAATATTCGAAATTCCTTGCTAAAACAAATATGATATGGAAAAATAATTGCAAATTCATTTAGCGATAAGCCACATTGCTCCTTAATTTTAATTTTTAAATTTTATATTATTAATTGAATGGATAATATATGTGTGATTGAGTATTTCTGTGAATATATGCGAGTTTCATTTTATAAAATTACATATAAATATTGTAATTTTAGCAATGACAGTTATAAATTACGTAGAACAATATCATACAGAAAATATTACAAATGATTTGATGACCTCTTCAATGAAAGATCATCGTCAGTAGTTGGATTTTCTCAGTATTGAAATTGAAATTTGGTCATACGTGGAGTGAAACATCGAATTTTAGGATTTTAGAAAATATTAAATGATAATTATAAACAACGATTACTTGCTAATTGCTACGAAAGTAAAAATTATCATGTCAGTTAAGAATTTTTCGCGAACAATCTTCAATCGATTAAATAGAACGTACAAAAATAAGCAATTCGTATATTTTTAGCAAAAATTAATCAACAAAAAAAAAGAAATAGTCTTTATTTATTATTTAAATAAAAGATTGCATTTTATTAAAATGATAACAAAATTTACATTTAGCTCTGCATTCTGTAAAAAGGTAGGCAGCGAACAATTTAAACAATTCAAATTGCCTTTACTGTTACCTTTCTGAAATGATATTCGTATATCAGTTATCATATGAGTAAAATTTCTGATAAAATACTCTCTTTTTAGAGATCATTTCACATTTACATTTTTAGAGATCATTTCACATTTACAGAAGTTTATTTTAACATGAAACCAAAAAAAAAGATGGAGAAAGGATTACGAAAACCTCAGTAATTGAAAATATGATGTGTTCTTTAGTGATTGAACCAATATGTTCTCGACAACGGCTTTCAATAGTCATTTCAACTTCAATTCCAAATATTCTCCTCGATATTTCGCAAACAATACCTTATAATAATATTTTTTTATAATTCAATTAAAAATCGTGCCAAAATTTTTAAGGTTTTTCCTTAATTCCACATTATTTCCAGATTCATAACACTTTAAAAATTCATAATTCACGATCGAGTTAATCTTTTATCACAATATTATCAGTCTATCGACTAACTAATTTTGCATTTTTAGTAATCTTTTCTGCAAATGTTATAAATGCAAAAGAAAAGAAAAAAACGGAAAAAGAATTTCCGGTATTCGGAAAAGTACAAACGAATATTTTGTTTAAATGAGATGAAACATAACAGCATAACAAGTAAATTAGCACCAACTAATAAAGCATTCATCAATAAACGTGAAGCAAAAATTAAACAAAATTCAATGTTCATTTTAAAAACTGTAAACAATAATTGATTAAAATATGCAAAATAATAACTTAATGAAACCTTTGACAATTCCTGGAAATCCTGTACGTGAGGAATAGTAATGCAATAATAGGCTATAATCATTATTTAATTCACAGCGAAATAATGGTACACGTAATTTCATCGAGAAGGCAATTTGATCAACAAAATAATGCACTCTATCCAAATTATTCAGGAAACCCTTTTGCCAAATAAATTATTTTAAATTATTTTTACAGAAATCTAATTAAAATCTGAGAATATGACAATGAAATTTATTTTCAAATAGTGAAATTTAATGCAGCTTTTTCAAAAACAAATTAATTTCAATATTTCCCTCTAAAATTTGGTTCTATGAAACATTTAGAATTTTTTCGTCTGTAATCCTAATTTTATTCAAATATTATAAATTATTACCACTGCCCACTTACCACTTATTTCTTCTCTTTTATTTTTACAAATATGAACAATTTATACGAAAAAAATTTCAAAATTAGAGAGGCAAAACAAGAAAACAAAAAAAAAAAAATAGAGTAAAAAAAGAAAAAAAAATTACTCTGAGATCGTAGGCAAGTGCTTGCAAAAGTTCATGCCATCCAGTCTTCATGATAAAATGTACAAAATATACACCGAAAGCTTCCCAAACCATATCCAACGAAAGATCTATGATTATTCCCAAAAATTGGAATTTGATTTTAAAATGCTTAAAGTTTTTAATTTCTACGATGGTAGCATAAAAATTTTAAATGTCTTACAAATGTCACGTTTTTTTAAAATAATAGTTTAAATTCACTCGTTTTTTTTGAAAAATATTTTTAAAAATGATAAAATGGCATAAAAGCTTTCTTCTAGAATAAAATTGAAAGCTTTACTTTCGAAATAATAGTAACAAATTAAGTTACTTTTAAGAGTAAGTCTTACTATTTAGTTGGATAATCTATTTTCTGAATTCAGTTCGATCACCAGAAAAAAAAAACTTCTTTTTGTTTAATTAATTTAAAGAGAGAATTGAAAATTTGAATAGATATACTTAAAATATGTGAAATAGCACGAGCCATTTTCATTATTATCTCATCATCGTAATAACATGTCATCACACATTCTTCGCCTTCTTTTAGATGACAAGAATTTCTGCAATTAATTAATTATAATAGAAATATATGGTGAGGAACAAATTTGAAAAGTTATTTTTCAACAGTAAAAATAATTTGATCTCTAACCTGCTAAACTTTATCGTTTAGCTTTGCTTATGAAGCAGTGGTAATGATATTTTAAAATATTAGAAAACCATAAGAATTATAAACGAATCATTTTTATTATTACTAAAGAAATTTTGCAATAAATAATATTAGCACGCGATGCATTAAATTTTTCCTGCACGCAATTTTGAAAGACATTAATGTTCGGAGTAAGAAATTCCCGAGTTCCCGAGATATTTCTTATATCTACATTTGCTTATCCTGAAAGTTTTGATCAAATATTACTATTGATCATACTTTTCGGAAAAAATAAGGTTTGCTTAAAGTTAGAGGTAATTTATTTAAATTTTAAATCATAGTGATAAGTCTAAGGAGTCACATGTTGCATTATTTACTCAATCTTTTAATGAGCTAATATCAAAATTTTATTCCCTTAATTTAATAGCAAAGTAATCCTATTAACTAGGAATGCTAGCCTAAAATTAATGAAAATAAAATTAAAAAATATATCAAAAAATGAAATTAAAAAAATACACCACCTCTCGAATCCATTGATCTTTATGAAAGCAACAATTTGAGCATTAATTAATTNAGCATTAATTAATTGGGATTAAAACTTACAAAATCTTCAACCATACATCTTTGCCGTACTGTTCAAAAATCATCCTCCGAAAACATTCATGAAAATAGCCGATCTAAAATGCAAAATATTATAAATCCTTTAAAAAAATCAATATTTTAGTCTATGACAGCTTTAGTTCAACGTATCTTCTAGAAGAGTTTACGTGATTTTCAATTATTTCACTTGTTGATTTGCAGATTAGAATATGATTGCAAATTGAATTTAATATAAATTATTAAAAAAATAAAACATAAATGTTAACAATGATAATAGACAAATGAAAAGTAATTCAAACAAATAATTTAATAAAATTAATTCGTATAGGAATTATCAAAATACAAAGAAATTGAAACTAACCATATTTTTAAAGAGTTTTGAGATGCAAAATGACACTAACGTTTCCAGCAAATCTATCGAAAGTATGCTATCATAATTCTGAATTAATCACTGAAAATTATTTCCCCTGCATATTTAATAAAGCAAATATGCATCAAATTTTGCAACCTAAACTAATATATTCTCTTCAATAATGTTTGCATAGAAATGAGAAAATATCGAAATTAGTTAATCATTCACACTTTATTAATGTTTATTTAATAGCGCTATTTTTTTTTTTAATGAATAACTTTTGATTATTTTATATATTATGGCATGAAATTTAAAATTATAAATTGTTTCTAAATAAATATCTAGAACTATTTTAGCTTTAATTTTAGAAGCCGCGAAATAAATATACAATTAAAGAGTAGAAGTATCATTTACAGATGAGAGATAATATTTAAAGTAAACTTTCACAGGTTTAATTTTGGCTCATTTTATTATTAATTGAAATAATTGCCATTACTGGAACATTGCTATTAATGCTATTATTTGGCTCGGCCCGTTAATGCACTACTTAGCACGTTCCAATAATAGCTTATTAGTGCTGCATGCAAAAAATTTTTAATGTTACTGTAAATTTAATTGACTTATTTTTTTCTGTTTTCAAATAAGAATTATTACTAGTTTTACGATATCATTGAAGTTTTTGACTACCGTAATTAATTATTATTAATTGTATGTTAATTAGTGCTACTCCGCTTACAATTATAATGAGCCTATCGATAGGATACTTAGATCAAATAAAATTAATTTATTGGAAATTATATATTTTTGATATATTTTAATAAAGTGAAATTATACACAAATCTTTAATTAGAAATTTATTCGTTTTCAATTCGATTTACATTTATACAAGAATTTGCTAATTGAAAAAGGACAAAAAGAGAAAAAATACTCTGAGCAAATTTTCTTACCACAAAAGATTTATAATTATTGCATAATTTTTACGATTACTTGAATTAGTGTTTGATAACTTTTGCATAATTTTTTTTTCTTACTTTTACTTATTGCAAAACTTTCTTTACTGACTTCATCTCTTTTGCAAATAGTATATTTTTTTTCCTCTTTCATTTTGCATGCTTTTTTTGGCGTTTCTTATCTCTTAGATAATCTTACCAATTGCTTCAATTTATTACATTGCAATTTTTTTTTTCTTTAAAAAATCCGTCTGCAATGATTACATCCTCCGACTTTATGCTCACCTCGTGAATTTTCATATTGCATGCATTTCTTGCTACTTTTATTTCCCAATAGTTTTGTATTTTTAATAATTGCATTTATTAAATCGCTTAGCACAGCACACATTTTGCAAGCTTCTCCTGATGTGTACTTTAAAATTTTACTCATTGCATGCTTTCTTCTTAGTTTTATTTATTAAATGGTTTTTTTTAAAATTAATTTTTGACATTGAAACAAATGTTGAGATTTCACCTACTTATCATACGCTTTTTTTTATTAGGTTTGCTTATTTCATGCATCATATAATAAGCAAAATTAATAAAAAAAAACCAGTAATTTCATTTCGGTTTTTATTCGTTAAGTTCGAATTCTATTCGTTAGGTTTATTTCAATTTATGTATGCTGACACGTACGATAACAAACAGCAATTAAATTCAATCCTTGAAATTGATCGTTTAGTGAAAACTAAGAATTTTATTAAGAGAATCGAATTTTCAAATTCAATTCGCTCCAATTTGTGGATTTTAATTTTTTTTGGATTACAGTTTCAACAGTTCAGTTATTATATAGATTTATTTAAGGTAATGGATTGATACCTTTTAAATCCAATCAAAAATTATCATCATAACATAAAGTAAATTGCAGTAATTGCAGTAACAGGAAAGGTGAGAAATCCATATCAATTTACAGGAATTTTGCAATGAAAAGAAACAAATGATCAAGAAGTCTAGATGCTTTAGCATGATACAAAATGAACAACAATTCAGATCCAGCCACCTTTTCACTATTTGTTTCTTCAACAGCTTATTTATAGTAAAGGCATATTAGCTTTGACACATGACAGACATAAATGGATACCTATGATATCTCATTCTTCATTAATTATTAATGAATATGAATTTAAAAACAGCAAAGAATATCACTGAAAATTAATCAAGTTTTTACCTCAGACACTTCAACTCTCAGCTATCGCATCATAAAAGTGCGGAGCAGATTTGTTGAAGTGAACAAGACAGATTGATGTGCCTGCTATGACACACTTCACCATATTATTATTGACAGTCGAGACGATTAACGATGAGGGATCGGCAACGTTTAATAACACAGACTGCTGGAAAGTCAACTGAAACAAAGAGGTAAATCTCTAAAAGAAAGTAATAAGTATCAATTAATGACAATGAAGGAATAGAGGCTTATTTTCATTCAAGGCAAAAGTAAATCTATAATTCATACCTCTCAGCAAAATCTATTTAACACCAAGAACAATTTTAACTTTAATTATTATGATGTAATTTTATTGCCAAATCAAAAAAATTATATTAATTGTTTTTCGCTTTAATTAAAAATTTTTTTTTTTGAGATAAGCAATAATATTTCAAGTATCGTATTCAAAACATCCATATATTTCAAATCAACTTAGTTAGAATGAAAGCTATTTTAATATTTATGGTTACCATTTTTTTAAACCAAGTGAAGACTAAAAAATCAAGACCAGCTGTATAACCGCAGAAAACTAGATGAATAAATGTGTTGAAGGTAATTATAACTGAAAATTTGATGCCGTACTTATTTATTTTATTGAGAAATTATTGAGAATATCTGAACAGATTATATATTACAAATGAAAAGATTCAATCTCAGCAAACTAACATAACTCACCGTTTGAAGAGCAGGAGAATAGACAAATACTGCTAACCTGCAGTCTAATGCTATTGAAAATACCAAAAATGATTCTGAGGTTCGGTGAAGACGCAAGTCTATAATAATCTTTCAAATTGAAGCAAAAGAAAACTTGAAATTTAGAAACTAAAAGTACAGAAAACCAGTTTTGCTTTTAAAATCCTGCAAAATAATGTGAATCAAACCGATCGAGCACCAATGTAATTTATTCAGTTTTAGCAGTAAAAAAGTGAAGTAAGCGTCTACCTGTGCACGTGGCACCATGCCAACAATTGACACTTTTCACGAGCTCCCAATTTTTCTTGATTTGAAATATGTTAATAGCGCCAGATTCAGAGCCCACACCAACATAAAGAAGCTCTAAATATGAGAAAAGTAAAACGTAATAACGAAAAAATAATGAAAGTTGTTAGTTTCTTAACTTTTGAAAATTCAAAACTTTTAAAATTCTAAATTAAAATTTAAAAAACCCTACCATTTTCGCTGCACATGTCCAATGCACTAAGTCCACACTTTTCCACTTCTATCCTTCTCTGATCATTTACATCAACTGATTCGGAAAAATTCCAGATGTATAGTATTCCTGTAGATGAGATAGCACCGCATAGAAAGCTATCATTTAAAGAAGCGCAAGAAACCTTAACCATAATTCCATCATCGTTAATCGATTCAAACAAAACTAAATGCTTTTTTGAATCCAAGGTCCTGCTTAACTCGTAAATCCTTAAAAAGCAAAAGTTTATGAAATTCCTCTACGCAGCAGAAATGATTCTAAGATACAGCAACCAAACCTATTTGATCTTGCGTTTACAATTTTACTTACATTAATCTTCCATCGGAGCATGAAACCAGAAATCGAATGCAAGGATTGACTGATATAAATTGAGCACTTAATAATCTACAATCCCTTTTTATACGAGTGTTAAATAATTGCTGCAAGTTTCCTGAAAAATACTGCATCCATATAATGAAAAATTAAACAAATGAATGACAAACTGAAACATACCAGCTTTTAAGCACCAAATGAAAATTTCAGATTTTCCTCCAACGGAAATAAGGTATCGATCTATTGCAAAAACACAGTACACTGAAGATGAATGAGCTTGTAATCGTTGCATTACTTCAACAGATTCTGAAAATTCGAATCGTTTTAATCATTTCCTAAAATTTGAAAACCCAATAACCATTAGAAAACCAATTCATTTTCAAAGTTTAAGAAAGTACTGTTACAAAATATGTTGCGACTACTCATTTTACTATAGATCATACCGCTTAGAAGTCTATACCAACAACTGCAAATAAAAAAATCAAACCTGAATTAATAAATCTGGACAAGACAAGCATACCATCAATACCACCAGTAACATATAATTCTTTTCGATCAATTTTTATAACCGTTATAGATGTAATGCTGGATAAATGTAAATTAGGCTGAAAAGTCGGTTTGAAACTACCTTAAGAACTGATTCATATTTAACTGTGATTTCAAATACCTCCAGTAAGATCTTGATATTCAAATCGAAAAAAATAATGAAAGTTTACTGTGCCTTTTGGAATTATAAAGAAAAAAAAAACTAGAACTCCATTATTCCTTCGAGAAAATCTATACAACTGATGGGAATTGCTAGTATAAAAGAACAAGAAACTTTAGCATTATATACTTTCATTAATATATAATAACGTTTTAACAAAAAATGGGTTTGAAGCCTTGAACGATGACTTACCTTAATTACATGTAAATCATTCATATAAAGTACGATTCTGGAAATTCTTCCTTTAATGACAAACTCAAAACACAATGATTTACAATTTGAACTTTCCTCCAACACTGACAGCGACCACGAGCGACGTCTTCCTCCACACCACACATCACAAACACAGTGTCCATTATCGTAATTTACCAGAATAAAGTTGCTCTACAAACTGAGTATGGTTCTTTTTTCTTAATATTATTTTAATGAGTGTAATCTTTCGTATAAAATAACAGATTGTGAAAACTACAATTTCATAAAAAACATTTTTGCATTCATCAAATACATTCCACAAAAATACTATACTCACACCCCGAAATCCTGCCACATATAACTGATTTGACGTTTCAAAAAACCTGCTTGGCCATTCCATTTCGACTGCAGTGGAAGGTTTAGACCAAGACAACAACTGCAGTGGATTCCCTAAAAACGCATCTGATTGGAATCTCAAGTTTTATTTATAATGACAAGTCATATTGTGAAATAAGTCTAATTAATGTTGAATGACTTGATGAACCATAACCTGTATTCCAAATGCACAATTTTCCATCACGTCCAATAGAAAGTAATTTAGTTTTATACAATTTCATATCTGTAACGCCATCCTTACCATGGGCTCGTTTTATTACCTGGTTCATCTGAAATAATGAATAATGAAATATTATATTATTTAAACTAAAAAAGATCTCTACAGGAATAAAATTTAAAAAACCAAAAATTTAACTCATCAAAAATGGTAAAATAACGAATCACAAAATCACAGTTTCATAAACGACAACATAGCAAGTGAATATTACAAGTAACTATAAATAAATAATCCTTTGATCTCAAACTATCCCGTGGCTAAGAAAAAATATTACTTCATTCAAGAAAATAAAACAGATGAATCATAAATTCCATCATACTCATTTAGATATCCAAAGCATGTGACTTCGTGACATTGAAGTGATAAAATGCAAATTAATTAAATCTTATCATGCATTACCTGGAGATTATGCACAACAACGATCGAACCTTTGCGTGTACCGAGAAAAATTTCGTCGTTATGAATCGCAATACATGAAATAATTTCCTGCAGATCCATTTGCAAAATATGGTTCATCCATTCTGACATATCTTCTGATAAATGAACTAGTATCTGCAAAATTGATCAAAAATGTCTTTCATGCAGCATTCAACATAATTTAGTTTATCAAATAAACATAAATTACTTTTCAGAATAAACTACTTCAATCGAATATACTTCGAAGTGACTTCTCCAGTCATCGTAGTTCTGAACATTCCTATTTAGGAACTTATTGATAGAGGCATTTCTTGAAAAACTGACTTTCTTTACATGTAACAGTAACGTCAAGATCTGAGAGACAAGAGGAGAACAGGAAAAAGAAACAACTCACATTTTTAAAGTTGAATAGTACAAGAAATAAACAATTGCTAGCCCAAAACAAATCCAATATTTGATCAACGGCACAAAAAAAGGCGCATTTGCGGTTTTCAACTAGAAAAATAAGAAAACGAACATGGAGACAATACATATTAAATTTTATTCATAAAAAATTTGCACTTCTTTCTTTATATGCAATTTCATGTGAACATGTGCTGCTAAGTGACTGAGTAATCATATGAAATATTTAGTGAAAGTACCAATTAATATTCTAAAAGCTACTCACCTCTTATTACATGCAATTTTCGGTCTTCTGAAAAAGCTATGTATTTTCGGCATGGTGATAATTTTAGCGAGTTCGATCTAGCAGAACGGCATTGTAGTATTTTATTTAAGGAAACTGTATTTGTTGCATACAGTATTCTGAAATTATAAAATATGAATATATTTTATAATTTCTTATAAAATATGAAATAAAATATGAATAAATATGAATATATTTCTAGAAACATTATAGATTATCAAAGAAATATCACGAATAAATCAGCTCGTTTAAAAACAAAAAATTGTAGCTCCGTTATCGGAGGACTTCAAAAAGAAAGAATGTAAAAAAGATTTAACAAATCATAAGTATCACAGGAAACTTATACATGTTGGAATTTACTTAACAGCGAAAGAATGTAATTATCAGGAATAGTAGAAATTTTAATTATCATAGATTAGATACAAGCAAAATAAACATTATTTAAAACTAATATTACAAAAAATATGCATGAAAAACTCAACAACTTCTCATTAATTTTTATTTTAACATAAAGTCTAAATTAATCCAAAATATGAATCTAGGATAAGTAAATTGTTGTTACCTCATTTCGTTAAAAATTTTGTCAACATCTTTTTAACAGAAATAAAGCTACATATTAATAAATAAGCCATTCAATAATAAAAAATTGTCAGCTTTATTATTGAAAAGCGAAAATCTGTAAATTCCACTAACTCTGGACAGACTTTGAAATAAATTTTCCGCTTAACTTTTGAGTTTATATAAGGAAAGTTTTCACATCTCTTAACCACGTCAGTATTTGACAGACTGTTGGATGGCCTCATAACCGTATGAGTTTATCATATAACGCAGGTAACAATATACTGTTGACATATAACTTTCGGAAAAGTTCGGCAGTTTTCGCAAAATTAATTGTGGAGCCATGCATGTTTATTTTATCATTTTAATTGCAAGCATAAAGAAAACTTTGACAAAGTAAAAAGAAAGATCTTCTCTTCCAAATGATCTACCTGTTTTAAAAATAAATTTGTGAACAGTCCGGAAATGGAAATAATGTCTCAAATCTCAGAATTAGTGACGATATTGAAAGTTATGAGATAGCAAGACATGATCAGAGAATTCTGACCGATATTATGTATCGAGAGTATCAGAAAATCGCAATTCATAAGTTTTCACCTTGGTGATTTCGTCTTCGATTAGCCTATTCCTATGTGATCATTGATGATATCTATGATGTATAATACTAGGTACGCTTTTCATTTAAATTTATTTTAATAGACCTGCATCTGTATTATTATTATATGTTCCTGGAAACTATGCATAAAAAAATGACCGCTAACCCTTGTAAATTCAAAATATAATAGCACTGCTGTGAAAGCGCAACGAATGATTGCACTGATATACTTGGAAAAATAACATCCACAGTTTGCATATCTTCTATATTTTCTGGAAATGTGAGAGATCCAAAGAAACCACAATCCGTACCGAAGAACTGAAAAATTAACGTAGTGAATTAACATAAATGAAAAACAAAAACAATTGGATATTAACAATAAGTTCTTAGCAAAAGTAATTTTCTTTCATAGACAAACTTTAAATTATTTGAATGATAAAAAATTGAAACTGCAATTAGTTTAGATCGATTTTCATAACTTTATCAATAACGATGCCAAAAAAATTTACCAGTTCTCGAGTCAAAAACAGAAAAGAACGGATAACACCACATCCTGTGTGTATCAACTTTAAAAGTGAAATAAATGATTCGCTAAACAGCCACATACATATGCTCCCGTCCTAAAATTACACACAATGCATCAAAAATAACTGAATCTCTCTGGAAGTTGAAATATTTGCACAGAAAAATGAAACAATATTAACTTTTTGCAATAATGAAATAATTCAACCAAACCTTATATATGACAAAGCTAACAGGAAAAAAAGAAAATGTTTGAGCAAAAGAAAAAAGAAACTAGCATTTCAGCAAAATCCAACATCTTATTTTATCCTAATTTTCTAAATAAAGATTCGTTACTCGAAACTTATATACCTTTTTTAAAATCTCAGTATATTCCTTTTCTTCAGATAAAAAAAAACACTGTGAACTAAAAAATAATACATACTTGACCTCCAGTGAATACCACATTTCGTGGTCCATCACAAATGGAAAACGGTCTTGTTGAATGTCCACAACATTCATCCAGATGGCAAGCACTATCCAAGGACCACATATTTAAGCTTCTGTCATCCGATATCGAAAATAGGAGGTTGCATTTTATGAGTAAACCGAAAATCATACCCTGTAATAGTTTTTGCTATCCGTAACTGAATTCCCACCGAAATCATTTAGCTGAAAGAA